TTGTTTGTTTCACCCACAAAATAGTCAATCCACTTTACAATCCTCTGTGAAGAGCATTGAGACATCTCAAGGATATAAGATGATATAAAATGCAAGGATTATTATTATATTTTTAATACCTCCCCCTCTACTCCTTCATTGATCACACAATACTCAGCACCAAACTTTTTACTGGAAAATGACAAGTTCCAGTTGACACATGTGGCATGAGGGTCTAAACATGTTCTCTATGTCTTAAATCCATCAAATAGTAAATGGCAAAATGCACCTCTCTATGAAGGCCATGATGGTTATGAAGTTAATTGACTTCTGGCTGCCCTTGCTTCCATTATGGTTTAATAGTGAATCACAGATCACAGTGCAGGCCAGTTCTTCATTTGACAACATCTGTACAACAGCTGCTCATGGTTGAGCAAGTAGAGAAATCACAGCAATAGATGTTACTTGTGTTACAACTAAGGCTATGATCCATCGACACAGCCAGCGACCATTATCACCGGCTGATTTAATGATGCTTTATCATGACTTGATATGCATCATAATAAATTAATAATGATAATTTTTAAAAACTGTCAATGCACATGGAAAATTAAACCGAAAAGTTCTGGCTCAGAAGCAGAAAATTGATTCCAATGGAGTTCTCTCCATTTATAGTTCAAGAATTCTTAACACAACACCAAAAGTGGAATATATGAAGTTCAGCACTGAAGCTAGCGCATCGCTATGCAAATTATAAGTTTTTAAAGGAAAAAATTCTCATAAGGGTAAATTAATAGAGTTACAAAAATATAATGATAGCAATTAAAGTCGGAAAATGCAAATTTTATAGTCAAGGGCAATTACTCCATTTATAGTGGATTGGAATGGTGCCAGATTTGGGTCATTTAGTTCCAAGTAGCTCACGGTTACACCATGATGAATGTTTGTACTTCTTCAGTGAAATGCAAATAGGTGAGAAGTTCAGAAACAAATGCTCAAATTAAAGAGCACGAGGCACATCACAAGAATGAACTGAATGGTGCTTAGTTCTGCACTATTTACGGGAGAACACACAGAATGCTTTGTTCTTGATCTTTTAACAGAGCATACCTAATGTTGATCAGGAAAATGCATAAAGACTGTGCGTTTAGCATTCAATTACATGACCACTGATGGATTTAACACATTGTGGATCCCATAGCAAAATCAGTCTTCAAATCCAGTTAAAATCCTGCTGATTTAATCTATACCCCATGTTCAACATTTGACAAGCAGTTTGTTTTGCAACATCTAACTCCTTGAAGGGCATGAGTTCTATTCTTCAAAAGAATTTTTAAAATCACATTTTCCATTTTCTTTCAGGAAATACTACTCAGACATACACTATACGGCTCTTCTGAAAGCTCAGTAAGTGAGTTTACCCGGGAAAAGTTAAATGCAGACAAACTGGGAAAATCCCAAGTTTGATCCTTTCTCTGTCTGTACTCCATATAGCTCATCCAAGGTTGTGATAGGGCTGCCACAAAGTATCTATGAATTAGGGAGGGGAAAGCCAGCCAGTGTTCGAAAAACTTTCCAGTGATCTCTGCTTGACGGTTTGCAGGTGTGGCTGTCAGGGAGGACAGGAATGAGCTTGGCTGTGAGGCCCTATAGTTCAATATACTAACTTAATATTTACACTGAGTAAAAGACACCTGTGTAAATGCTTGGGGCGAGGATAAATAGAGTCAAATTGCCTTAGGAGACGAGGTAGAAAGGAGAAAACTGTTGAGGAATAAAAATATTTAGAAATTTGTATTGTGTGCCTTGAGATTATCTTTTTCGAACTCCACCCTTGAATCTTTTTGACACATTCCCTCATTCTCCTTTTTCAAGGCACATCTCAAAATATACCTCTTTGACTGCTTTTGGTCATCTTTCTCCTTGCTAGCCTCTTCGGCTACCCTATCCCCAGCTCAGGAGCCATCCAGGACTGTGAATGCTCTTTGGGATGCCCTCATGACTTGAAAGGTTCTATATAAATTGTGTGTAAATTGTATTGTTACCATCAATTTAAAATGTCAGTTTTATTATGTCCAGAATTATAATTTTGCTATCTGAAAGGACAAATATAAATACCATGGTTAAGTTAATTATCTATAGCTCTTGATTTCACTCTTTGTCTGAATCCACCTGTTAGAATACAGTCCTCATTTATTCACATGTTGTATGAGTGAATAATATGCTATGTGATGATTATCACATCTTCAAATATTTGTTAGTTTTGAAAGTTCCTACACAGAAGGCTACGTGCTTTATGTGGATATAGGCACACAGCATTGTATTAGCACAATTGACTGCCGCGTTTCGCTCACAAAATATACAGTCAATTCACTTTATAGTAAATTCTGTAAAGCACTTTGAGACACCTCGAAGATGTGATAAGGTGCTATATCAAATACAAGGATTATGAGAAATGGACTATCACTATCTCATTCGTGGGAGGTTTTGCTTTGTGGCTGGTGCATAAGCTAAAGAATTATAGTTCAAAATTGTAGCTATCAATCTGACCACAAAATCATAAGTTTAACATACCACTTGCCATCTTTCCACTTCACAGTTTTTCTTATCCAGAAAGAAAAAATGTGAAAGGTTACCATCTGGTTGTACAACAAATGTTAAATTCATTGCACTTGGCAAGAGAGATGGCAAAACACCTCTGAGATGAAATATTCCCCCAAACTGGTTGTAGTGCTATTCCTGGCTGGGAAGCAACACAAATGACTTCTGTTTGGATTGGTAGCACAGATGATATTTTTGTTCCCGGTGCTATATTTAAAGAGGTATCATCTTTATGAAAATGTCCTTACTTTTTTGACTGTTGAGGAAGAGTAAAGAAAGAGCTGTGAGTGTTTTTTGTCATGAAGATTCAATCATATGCCCCCACACAATTGATTTATTGCCACTTGTATTAATAATAGTAATAATCCTTACATTTGATATAGCGCCTTTCACCTCAGGAGGACAACTCTAAATGCTTTACGGGATAAACTGTAAAGTGTAGTGACTATGTATTTGTGGGCAGATGAAGCAGCTAATTTGAAAACACCAATGTCCCACAAACAGCCATAAAGTGAATGACAAATTTTATTTGGGGGATTGTTGGTTAGAACACCAGGAGAAACTCTCTTTTCAAATAGTGCATCAGGATTTTTAATGTCCATCTGAAGATGCTAATGGGACCTCAGTTTAATGTCTCAACCGAAGGATAACATCTCCAATAATGCATCATTCACCCACTCTGCATCAGAGTGTCAGCTTAGAATTGTCATAAACATAGCAAATATATTTCCTAAAGACTTAGTCACGAAGAGTTCAGAACTGCTTCGTCAATTAGTTGGGATACTCTTAAGATTGGTGATGGGTTTCCGCAAGTGTCAGACATCGAGTTGACCAAGAAAAAATCACTAGCAGTTCTCTTTTAAATTAGATTTTGTTTCAACTCGGTTTTCCTGCATTTCAGCTAAAGTTCTGAGGTGTAAATGAAAGAGAATTTTGGATACATAGTCTTTTGTAGGTAAGTCTGCTATTTCTTCTCATTTAGCTCAAGTGATGCAGGTCTTTCATGCAGTGATCAGAAATAGCAGCATGTAAACAAACCTAATAACACAGAAAGTGCAAACAAACCCTTCCATTCAATTTATTTATAAGAATGATCTGTGAGTCATAATTGCAGTCGTCTAGCACAAAAAATACATTTATTCAAAGCTTCTCCCTTAGGGGAAGCACTTGTTAATGTACTTTTCTGAAGGAATGTAGGATTCAAGATGTTGATTTCGAATCACCATTCATCCACCGCTAAAGAACAATAGTGTAACTTTGCCACACAGAGCAGGTGTTCCAAATAATTCTCCCTACTTACATCCAGGGTGAAGACAGTTGACCTATTTTGTAACGCGCAGCCAAAGTGCACTGCGAGGTAGATTGGCTGAGAACACAGTTAACGTGGTGCTTCAAACAGATAGACAACAGGAAGTCAGATTAGAAAAAAACACAGGAGAAATTCATAAATATGAAGTGAGACTGGGTTATGTTAAAGAGAAAACAAAAGAGGCCGGCAATTTATCCTTTTGTTAGCTCTGAGATCTGAGGAATTAATCTCCAATTTACCTAATAAAATTTCAGATGGAAGTTGAATTGGAACCAGTAACACCATTACTTTTATATATCTGTGGACCTACGCCTAGACACATTAAACATACAGTGTTAAAGCTAGGCTTGGTGCCCCACCGCCATCGTTGACCTCTGAATAATGGTAATGACTAGTAGTAGTCACTATACTTCTAAGCCCTGAAACTCCCTACCTCAATCCCTCCACCTCACCCCACTCTTTATCTTGCATAAAATCACAGTTTAAGACTTACCTCTTTATGGTAACATCTCTCTCCCATTTGCTCAGCGCCTAATCCCGCCACTGTGAAGCACTCTGTTATCCTACATGAAGGGTGCTATATAAATACAAATTGTTGTTGTTTTGAGCGCTGCCATCATAGATTCCTATTTCAAGGAGAATTTTATACTTCAATGAACTTGCAGTGCCAAATGGACCTTTACATCTATGGACCATAAAATTGGAGCCTGTGTATTTTGCAGCTGTAATTCTTTCATATATTCCTATTATCACACATGCACTTGAAGTGCTAAATGCAGAAAAAACATATTCACAATGGTAATACGTAGTCAATGTCATGTCCAACTAAAATATTCAAATGGATTAGACTACTTAAACAGCTGAACATCAATGGGATTTGCTTTTACAGGGTAACCAAAATGTGGTGATACCATTACAATGTTGAGTAAGTCTCAAAGTTTTTTTGTACATTATAGGGGAGCTGAAAAGTAAGACTTTTTGGTCACCCTGTATTACCCCTTAAAGTTAAATATACTATTAAAGATTTCAATTCACTTTGAGCAAGGTGGATAGACAAGTTTTCTTACATTAACAAAAAGTAAAAACATTAAGCCAATTTAATGTAATTTATACTTTTTATACATATAGACATTCCATACATGTACATTTAGATAGATACATTCTACACCACTTGACAGCAATTGCTGTAAAGCACTTTGAAATATTTTAACATAGTAAGGCATTTAGACAAATCTAAGTTGTTATATACAGTAATAGGTTAGGTAATAACGCTTTGGAAATATGATTGCCAAAAAGAATAGAAACTAAATGCTACCTCTACAGTGAAAAGACTATTGGAGTATATGTCCATTTTGCACTTATCAGGATTTTGTCAATGTTTCTTTTTGTAAATGGTCAAAAAGGTAATAGGATCACATATTTCAGATGTGTGATCGTATTATCAGCTGGATGTAACTATTGAATATTTAACTATCATAATAATAACAATCCTTGCATTTGATACAGCGCTTTATCACATCTTTGTGACATCTCAAAGCAATTCACAGGATACACTGTAAACTGTAATGACTGCGTGTGTTTTGGGGGCGAATTGTGGCAGCCAATTGCGCAACTCATTAATAATCCTAATCCTTGCATTTGATATAGCGCTTTTCACGTCGGGAGGACGTCCCAAAGCGCTTCACAGAACACACTGTAAAGTGAATTGACTCTATATTTGTGGGCGAACGCGGCAGCCAATTGCACACAGCAATGTCCCACAAACAGTCGTAGATTGAAAATGACCAATTTATTATTGATTTTGGTTTTGGAGGGATTATTATTAGGCGTGTGGAGTAAGGAAACTTGCCCAAGGTTTCGCCCTCTGCCTGGAATTGAACTCAGGTCTCTCGCTTGCAAAGGGAGTGCTCTAACCACTGAGCTACAGGACTCCACATTATTCCACAAACAGTCGTGGATTGAGTCACCAAATTATTTTAAAATTTATTTTAAAGGGTTTATTATCCCTGGAAAGTGATACGTCAATCTACTAACAAGCAGGTTCATATTTACTGCTAGGTAAATAGAGGCGTGTGTGTTTGGAGAGAGGAAACTTGCCTCAGGTTTTCAAGTTTTTGTCTTTAAGTTAATTTCTGTTTAAGATTTTGCAACCTGACCTCTTTTTAAAGGTGGTTGCTCTCATACTAGCTGATGCATTAAGCAATGATTAATTGTCGTACTTTATAAACAGTGATATCTTTGTGTAAATACAATGGGGAATGATTTGATTTGAAATATGACAAATAACCAACCGTATTGCAGCATTGTACAAATTACACTTTGTGCAGAAAGCATGCACATTTTATAGTTGCAATTAAATGTTTTTCTTCCAAAAATTCCAGTGAGAACATTTGAGAAAATGACTTTTTAATCATCTGTAAAGCTATAAAAACTACTGCCTCATGATAGTTCTGAAAGTCGGCACATTTAAAATTAATTGTAATCCATAGCTTTAGAAAATAAAAAGCTCTCCAGCTCCCAGATCAGTATTTAATTCAAATGTATCTTTTATCACACAGCTGCTTGCACAATGCTTTTACCCTCTCCACCATTCTGTGCTGTGGCATCTTCCTCTCGTACTTTGGTTTATCCTTATTGCTTCGTATTACTGCCCATTTGTGAATAGACTCTGCAACAGCATCAACATTAGTGTGGATTAACTTGACAACCAGGAAAAGATGCATCAATCTTGCCTACAAGGAAACATTTAATGAAATCACACACTCACCTCATTAAAACAGAGGAGCGTCATTAAACAATAATCTGCATAAAACAGCCTGTTGGTTATACCGGAAAATGGGCAATGGAGAAAAGCACATTCAGATTAAACAGTAATGTGTCCTGGTTAAGATTTCTGCTTGAATAATTCCTATCAATTTAGCAAAAATATCTTCTTATGTATGGTATATTATGGGAAACTTACACCACCCAAAAATACATATGCACTACAAGGAAAAGCTTTTCAATGTAAAAATGTTTGCTCCCCTGATTTCTCCTTTATTTTCTGTACCATTTTTATCCATCAATGGCATCTTCAGCAGAGATTATTACTATAAATCAATTCCACCTCCTCTGTGAATTGTACATATTAATTGATTTTTTTAATCATTAAATTCATATGCATATATATTTAAAAGCAAAATCATTCCCAACAGCTTCTATGAACGAATGCAACATAGTGTGTTTACCTAAATATTAATGGATGGATTGGAGCATCATTGCTGCCAATAATATATCCATTTGTGTTTCATGCCAATTCAATGTTTAAATCTTTGTTTAAAACAGACCAACTGGTTAAAGCTGAGACATATGAATGCAATTACCAGCCTGTTATAATCCACTTGAGAATCCATTATATTAAACATGGGAGTTTAAGGCTGTTAAAAAAAAGTACCATCCTTACAAGACAGCAAGCAAACAGCAATGTTCTGCTCGTCAAACTGCTAGAATGAATCTGGATAGGGACAGCTTAATTTTCCTTGTGTTGATGGAGATTTCAAAGCTGCCATAGCATTCATCTTGGGATTAGCATCTTCAAGTCATTATATGGCTGTGATGTGACCTGCATACAACAATGTGCCATCTGATCTTATTCCAAGTGTTATACTGTGTGTTTTTACTGTTATCTGCCTGGAAGGTGGCTCCTGTGTAAGAAAGGCTGAGCTGAGCGATAGTTGTTATTGATGTCAGTATTAATCTAGCTCCAATTGGTGTTTCTGCACAGTATCAGCAGTCTCCCCTACCTCCTTTTGCTAGTAAACGATTACAAACTCTTTGTGGCACAATACTGTGGCCTTCACTGCAATGTTTCCTGTTTGGGACCTGAGAAGCTGAACCCATCATGCTCATCGCTGGGCCTATTGTCTGAATAAGTGTTTGGTTTAAATGCGGAGCACTAAAGTTCAGCAATATGTGCAAAACAAGATGTAAGCCCCTTCACCAGAGTTCCCCCAGCTCAGTGTTAAAGCGGTAAATCCTAGAAATGGTAAGTACTTAACCCTGGATGAGTCCTGGGCACTTAAGCTTTTTTAAAAAAATGAAAACAATTCATTATCCAACTCTTCCCATTTCCAGGCCCCTGATTGAAGCCCGGTGTTCATTCAGTTCAGCTGCTAAATCGTGGATCAGACATACTAGGGTGACAGAGCCCTTACAGATTCTCTTGAAAAATGTCACCTCTTAACAAAGCTGTCTGTGGATTGGTTTGTTTTCAGATTAACACCAGAGCTTTTTGTTTCCATCCCTTTTCTCTGCCTCTTGTTCAAAACTAGGATCCTCTAATTCACTAAATCAATAATTCAGCCTTAAATCAACAGTAGTAATGACTGTCAAGATGGGGAAAATCCTTCAAAATTTGTTTTGATCATGATTGTTCTCTTTGAGAAATCCACTTGTGCAGGACAACATTCCCACTGGTTACAGTATGCTATCAGGAAGTTTACTCTCACCTTGTAATCTACAAACACTAATTTTAGAATATAATCATATAATAATAATAGTCCTTGCATTTGATATAGGGCCTTATCACGTTGTCAAGACGTCTCAAAGAACTTCACAAAGTATACTGTAAAGTGAATTGACTGTATATTTTGTGGGCGAAACACTGCAGCCAATTGCATACAGCAATGTCCCATAAACAGTCGTGGGTTGGGTGACCAAATTATTAAAGTTGTGATCTTAACAACTATAATAATATCACAACTTTATATTAATTACTCATGACTGTAAATACCAGTGTTATTATCATGCATCCACCCACCCACCCACACACATCTCCCACCTTCCCATTGCAAAGGCATAAATATGCAGGAAAAGAAAAGAAATCTCATATTAAATGACAGCTTCTTAAGAGGTAGAATTTAATAGTCTGGGTCATCTATAAAACTTTTACAACCCAGTCCTCGTCACCCAGATGAAGATTACATCTCCAGTGTTCAGTGCCAAAGCACATGTTAATAAGATCACAACTTTTAATTAAGCAATATGTATAAGCAGATTCACATTAAAGCGTGATTTGTGGGATAGTTCATTACACTGTGCTCCAGCCATCAGACAAGTGCTCAATACAAATCATGCAGCCGGAATATTAGTCAGTCTCAAGTATGCCCATGAGTGGATTATTGATGTTTCATCACTCCCATTGATTGGTGGCTCCAGGAGCCTTCATTCCTTCTGTTATTGGCTCAGACATGAAGGAGCGATCGGAGCTCTTACTGCTTCTAATGAAATGATTGATCTGAATCCTTTGTTACTGCACTCAGGGGCACAGGCATTTTGAACTAGTTCCCACCCTCTTTGCAGTACAGTATCTTGCTTCCTTGCATTCTGCTCTTATAATAATGAGGAATTATCCACATTTTAATACCCAAAGTTAAACAGGACAGTTTTAACAGCTTACTAACAACACTGTGATGAACTCCTGAAAAGAGCTTTTCAATGAAAATCAGGCCTAAAGTGGCGAAAGTAATATTTTTTATGTTTTCTCCACTGGCTGGGTGGGTCTTTATTGTACAAATACAGAATTCTTAGTGAACTGTTGTAATTTTTTTGTAACTGTTATTTTTATTATGCTTCTCCTATGGCCTGGGTTTTACAGGCCCTATCTAGCGCAGCACTAGATCTTAAAGAACGGAAGGTTGCAGGTCTATGTTGAGAGAGGTGATCTTGGCACTATCATTCATTGGCCTCAGTACTCCAGGGGTAGAGAAGGGAAAAATCTACCAGGACCCTTGTTCCTGAATGCCAGCGAGAGACCCCTGCTGGAAGGTTCATGTATGGGGATGTCGAACAGGGTGAGCATGCTCGGTCAGTGACTGTTTCTGACCTGGCCTATTACTGGAAGGTCTCAGGATATACCAATAAAGATTTTAAAAATAAATATTAAAAATGTTCAATTTTCAATAAATCATGTTTACACTGGGATACATCAGGAACATTGTCAAAGTTACCATGTAATTATGGTCCTATATTGGAGTAGTCCTTTAAATGATCATAGTCAGCCTTATTTTTACTCCCTCCCCCCTTTCCTTTGTTTTCACCAGTCACAGAGACAAATACCTAAAACTATTCACCAACATAAAGTGTTCTTTGGGTCATCCTTCCCTCCCCACTGCAATCTTCAAAATTGTCTGAAATACTTTTCATTATTAATTAACTAATTTCATTATTAATTAATACAGGATATCTCATGATCAATGAAGAACTCTGTTTATACAGTACGTTCTGGTTAATCCTTACTCACTGTCTCCTGGGACCTCCGGGAAATTCCCTGACATATTGGTGCTATCGTCATGAGAAAAAAGAACCTGCTCTGTTTCTGAAGAAATATAATTTAATTTAATGCCTCCTCATACAAGTTAGCTACACAGCTAAACAGGTTAAACCCTGAACATCGCAATGTTTAATTTGATATTTCTTAACAGGATTCCTCAATCAGGAATCTGAGTCTCGAAAATGAGAATTCCATCCAGTAACCAGAAGCATGCAGTCTAATCCATGGGAACTGCTCCAATGCAAACTCACATATGGACTGAAATTCTGACAAATTTCTCTTAAGAATTACCACAAATTAGTCCTCAGACTATTTTCTTATATGAGAAATTATTGAAGGCTCTTTTTTCCGTGCCCTGGCCAAAAATCTCCCAAATAAAATTGGTTATTCACTTCATTCATGTTTGAGGGAAATTAGCTGTTGAGTTCACAGCTACTACACTTTACAGCAAGTTTTATGGAGCACTTTGAGGTGTGAAAGGTGTTATATCAAATGCAAGCATTATTTTATTATTGTCTTGGGTGCCTTTTTCACTTAAAATATCACTACAGCAATGATATGTTTTGCTTGAGAGACCTTTTGCAACTGTTGAATTCACTCTTCCTGACATCCCTTAAACTTATTTAATCTTCCACTCACTTTGTTACTTGATTTCAGTAGTGTCTCTTTAACGTTTGTTCTTACCCTAATGCAATTTGTCTGTTGCTGTTTCAGTTTCGAACATAAACGCTGATTCATCAAATTTATATCCAGCCTGGCCTCCTACTCTTTGATACGGAGATACCTGGTAATTCTTTTTGACATACCCTGGATTTCTCTGTTTGGCTACCAGTCTAATTGTTGGAATTTGCATCTTACACTGTGCTTATCCTGTGATACAGTGCAAAGCAAAAGCCACAGTGTAAATCCTGATTGAGTAGCAGGAACTGAAGGTATTTAAATCTTGCACAGTGCAGCCCAGTTGCTGAAACCGCCGTGAGAAGATGGTTAAGATTCACATTGCTGCATTATAAAGAGAGTGCAAATTCAGTTGAGCTTTTCTCTGAGATGGTCTCTTGTAAATTAATATTAATTAGACAGCCCAAGAACTTTCAATGGACTATTTACTAATGTTATTAAAGTAACATTAAAAAAAACACCCTGATGCTCAATATCGGAGTTCTGCCCATGTGCTTAGTTGCACATGAGTAGAACTCTCGTGAGCCCCAGGCCAATGTGATTAGGAGTGGGAAGCACTGCATAAAGCAGGCTTCCCACTCCACATCACTCTGACTGCTGAAAGCAGAATCACTTCAGTTCCAGCAGTATAAACAGGGCATTAAATAACTGTACTCAACCTTATTCTGAGCCCACTTGCC